CCATTGTGGGTGATGGCGGGACGAACACCGACGAAAGACGTATTTACTCAATTCACAAATACAGCTGGGTGGCCTACTTTAGGGTTGGCCTGTCTTGTCGGTCAAATAAGCCCCATCTTCTCATTTCTTGGTAAGCCTAGAAAATCTGTTTGAATTGGATGGTTGCCGCAGTATATACTGACTTGATTTTCGTATGGCTGTCTCCAAGGCCCCGATGCCGCTACCCATATTGGTAAATTCCTCCCCTGGCTCCTGAACAAACTTGTATAGAATCAAACGAGCTAACAAATTGTTTCAGCTGAGGAAATCAAAGATGCTTCAAAGGTTGTACCATGGTGCATGATTTCCACTGCCCTTATAAATGGCTCCCTTGGCTTCATCATGCTTATCACCTACCTCTTCACCATGGGAGACCTGCACGAGGTCATTAAAGCCGAATCCGGATTTTCGTTCATTACCGCCTTCTTGAACGCGACAGGTTCCAAGGCCGCAACCACCAGCCTAGGCAGCCTCCTGGTCGTTATGGAGGCATGCGCCGCCATCAGTGTTTTAGCTACAGTGTCACGACAAACCTTTGCATTTGCCCGTGATAATGCGCTTCCGTTCTCTCAATTCTTCGCCCGTGTGCACCCAAAATCTAAGGTCCCCGTTAACTCCATCCTAGCCTCAACGGTTATAACGATTCTACTTTCACTCATCAACATCGGCTCAACGGAAGCATTTAACGCGATCGCCTCCCTCACAATCGCGTCGCTTTTCATGTCGTACCTCGTCTGTATCGGTTGTTTTATCTACCGCAGATTGCAGTGGAGGAGATACCGCCAGCACGCTTCAGCCTAGGCGCCTGCGGACTTCCCGTGAATATTATCTCATTCTTGTACCTTAGCTTCGCGATTGTGTTCACATTCTTCCCGAACAATAACTATCCCACGGCCGTCAGTATGAATTGGTCAGTTCTCGTGTTTGGGTTTGTCGTGATTTTCGCCGGGCTTCAATATTTGATTCATGGACGGAAAATCTACGATGGTCCTGTTGCGTATGTGGAAAAAATAGAGTGACACCGAGTAGTTCTTTCTCTAACCCTTTTTTCCAATTTTTTTTCATCAACGTCTCTGGAAAGCCTTGTCTACATCTATAAGAGTACAGCTATATATACTTTTATTCTTTTCCTTGGTTCTTAATGCTCGTCTTTTGTTAATCGTTTGTCTCCTCTGGGACAAATGTCTACACCGGAATGTTCCTTATAGGATGTATTCGAAGCGCTCTACAAACACATACATTCGGCATATAATTAAAACGAAAGAAAGAAAGAAAGAAAGAAAGAAAGAAAGAAAGAAAGAAATTTTCACGTGCCCCGTGGTAATCGCTCTCTATTCGCGATTTGTTTCTGCACTTGACGTTTACATCGGTGGACGTTATTTTTTTGCTGCTCGCTTTTGCGGAAAACGATGGCGTTATTCAAGATGGCGTGCCCAAGATTGCCCCCTCGGTTGCAATTAGCCCGATTAGCGGCACAATTGAAATATATCAAATGCAGGTTACAATCGATATCGAGAACGAGACGGTAACAAGCCGAGAAGTGGGGAAAATAAAATCTCGTACTCGACGGGAGGATTTTCAGTTACCAAAATAGGCGGGTAAGGAAGAATGATTTAGTTCACTATAACAAACTAACGTTCGTTCCACGCATTTATTCATGTTGAATCATATATGGACCCGAGTTGAGCGTGGTTAGAAAAGGTTGGATTTGGGTAGAAATGGAGAATCAAAAATTTCTAACTACGTTCAACTAGAACCCGGAAGCATATCAGCTTATTCTTTTCATTGTCGTTAAATACTAGTAGTAAATCCATTCCAGGAAAAGCGGCGATGGTATGAAAGTAGACGCTCAGAATCATCAAGTTGATTTTATCAAATACATCAACATGTACACTCTATACAAAGATATTTAAAGGAAGAGACATCGCGACAGCGTAGTTCGGCATATCCACAATCTCGACAATTTTGAGGTTCCCTGCCACGCTTGCCAGCATATATGCTTCTTCCGGCGTTAACCCCTTAGTCCTGACTAGCCACTCAATGAGATTTCGAGTTGCCTTCCTTGCGGCTTCGAGCAGGTCTGTATCAATCCCCATAGTCGCATACTCTCCCTTATCCACCTGCAGAGCCTCGTCGGCGTCGTGTATACCCCGCGTTCGTGGGGGAGTTTGGAACTGCGGCGCCGTGATCCATGACTGGTTCTTGAGGATTGAGAGTCGCAGACTAGCTTTTAGGGGAGTTTCAATTGCGGTGCCGCAAACCTCTCCGTCGCCCTGAGCAATGTGCCCATCGCCACAGCTGAATAATGCACCTGGCGTTTGGACGGGGAGGTACAGTTTGGAGCCCACGGTGAGATACCGGCAGTCGATATTTCCGCCCGTATTCAGTGGCGGGATCATGGAAAATTCTCCGTCCGCGCCAGGAGCAACGCCCATAATACCCAAGAAAGGCCTTCTGGGGATCTGAATGCTTTCTTTGAAAAGCGCGTATGGCTGATCGGGGTCCAAGTGCCAGATCTTCAGCACCCCGTTGGGAAACTCATCCGATAGTAGGCCGAAGTCAGGAAATATTGCAGTCCAGCCCCAATCCGTGGTTTTCAGGTCGAGAATCTCGACCTCCAGGACATCTCCTGGCTCCGCGCCTGTGACAAAGACAGGACCCACGGCGGGGTCAGCAAGCGCAATGTCGAAGGTGCTCAGTGCGCTCTCCGTGGAGGTCTTGGTTATCTGACCATTGCTTCCATCCATGGCATCGAAGTGGACTATGTCACCCGAATTAATGGTTTGAGTTGGAGAGATTTGTTTGGACCATTTGACATGCTGCTGGTGCCGATGGATGTGAATTGATTTGGAAGGTATTGTGTGGGTCATGATGGATGGCTATCAAAGTTTTTCAAGGCGTCCAGATATAATAATAAACATGGGACATCAGTGAAATAGGATACCAGGGGGATGTATTTGAAGGAGGCAGCCCATGGAAAAATGCAGTTCTTGCTTTTCTTTCAGGGCCTGTGGATTAATTAATGTGGACCCTTTGTGCGTAAATTCCCTGGAGGCAGTAAATATATAAGAGTAAGAATTTCGAAAATGTAACATTGATGTGTTCAAGGAAGGCTTCGGTAATGGTGCGTGAACTCCGAAATTCATATCTGTCCGATGCGAATATGTCCGTCGAGGATCAGAACTACTAACAGGCATTAGTTGAAGAACGGGACGTTGGACGGGCTGATACTCCCATTTCTTGCGTCACTGCCCCTGCCATGTTTTCTCGGCCCCGCATATTCCTAGGATCGTAAGTTGATTAATATCCTATACTACACCTCCCTCTTTGCTCAAGCAACATGACGGCTTTGCACTCATTCATCCTTTTACGGTGGATTGCTGCCAGCAACTGCCATGTGTGTTCGCCCTAAATACATTAACCACCAGCAATTTCGTCAGCCCCACTAGAGAGTAAAAATTCAAAATTTCGGCTATGAAACAATCTAGCCCACCAGCCATTGGAAAAAAAACGTTTTTAATGACCTTCCTTTTTGGGTTAAAGGGACAGTCTTGAACAAGTTTATGTGGCGAGAGAAGGGAAGATAAGAAGAAAACCCACAGAAGATGTAGTCAAGACGATGCGATAGACAATGGATTGTGTACATCCTTCGGTTAGTACTGCCGTCCATACCCTGCCGTAGGATTTATTTTCCGTGATTCAGATATCAGTTGGGGAGGATGTTGAGGAGAACACGCCTTTGCTGTCCTGGATGTTGTTCTAGCCGTGCAAGTGCTGACTCAAGTCACTAGGGTTTATTGGGAAGGCGGTAGCAAACGATCAAAACAGGATACGAGTACATTACCTAGGTAATAGAAGGGAAATGGATAGGAGTGGTATAAGGGTATAACTATTTCATTCATGACTGGATTATTTTATACGCTATGGTCACAAGTAGACCCAAGCTTGAGAAGTACTAAGAAACAACAGTACGAGTCTATCCAAGGGATGGATGTCAGATGTAAAAAAGAAGCCTTTGCCCGGATTTCTATTTCTGGGCTGCAACTGCGACAGATCTAGTTACTCCATGTAAACTCGTTCACCACTTGCCTTGCCTCATCGAGACAAAAGTTTTGGTTAATCCTCGGAGGTAACTAATATAGGATTCACCTCAATTATTCGCTTCATGTAACGAAACATGAAAAGTAAACGCCGCAGAGAGTTAAAAAACACTCAATTCTGAGCCGTTCGCCGGAAAATATATATGCAGAAACTAGCATATAAGGCCTAGTAATATAAACATGTGAAGATACGGCCCGGTATACTCATCCGGACAATGCGGATAATTACCGGATTTTGCTGCTTATTTCCTCGTAGGTAGTTACGAGTTTTAGTTCTGTTTCTCGAATCCTTGGCAGATTGCAGTGGATGTATCCAATTGACGTAGGTTTGTTAGCTTGATAGAGCAAGAATGTCCGAAACTTAAAGTCTCATGATTTCTCCGTGGTATAGACTAGAAAACTTCGCTGTAATGTGCTGGCCTTTGACGCGGGCTATATACGCAGTAAACATATATCCCCTGGTCAATATAAATACAAAATAAAGGTGACTTGAAAATGAGCTGATGCAAACTGGAGAAAATGATAAGGCACCACGACGAGTCATTTTGATTCGCAGACCCTGCTGAGTACGATAGAGAATTGTGGAGGTCACGACGATCATTTCCTTCTCAAAGGGAAATCATATCAAAAGACCGTGCATTCCACCAACTGTTGTAAGTGGTGGCATTGGCTTGTGAAGAACTCAAATCTCAGAGCAGAATGTGAGTAGATGCTCACGCCAAACTATTCGCAAAACGATGAACGGATCAGCTAGCCACTTACATTGAAGGAGCATTGGCCAAATGATTGATTACAGGAGAATCTGGCATTGCCAAGGGCGATGCAACTGCGGCAACTCAGTAGAATTGATGGAATGGAATCAATGCAATCAATACTGCAGATTAGTAGCGATCGGAGTTTCTTGGCTACTCGTATATTTGCCTAAAAACCAACGATTCAACTTCGTATAGAGTACTGCGTATGGCTCGGCCTAACTGATTGATGTTACACGGTTAGAAAGCATGAAACAATGAGGAAGTTGCTGTTTCTGCTCACCATGAAATGGATGTTCATGAAGCGGAGTGTAGTTCCCAGATGACCAAAATAACCTTGAAAAATGACTTTGCAGTGCGTTCAATACTTTACTACACATGAAACGCTGACATCTACATCATGAGTTAGATCGCTCGTTCCTTGTGTGTGTATAGGAAATAAGACCGTGGGTTGGAGATTCCATCATCTTCGTGGGTGGGGCGGATGTGGGACAATGGAGGAATGCCCCCAAAGTTATATTAGATCAACCCCTCTAACGATTCCAATACTGACTCAAGCCGTTGAGTGAGTCTGTGGGCGGCTGAGGAAGCGAATCTAGTGGCCGCTCAGATTAACATCAAACTCTAATGTTGTATATTGACTCAAAACAAAATAGACAAGCTGAGCATGAACAATGTTAGACGTCTAGAAACAGAAATGATGATTGGATCGACCATCGCACCTTATTTTCCTCCATCACATTTTAGAGACTGAAGCAGGAAGCATCCTCAGTAGTATCCCGAGCGGACTGTACCTGTAGCAACTGGTAGCTATAATTTCTCCGAATGTATGTATCTTCGTGTACAAGAGACCAGATGTTATGCTTGGTTCTTGTTTCGGGACGACTGAATTATATTTGCCCCAGGGATTGATTATTATTCTAAATATCGACATCGGATAGAGTGGAGAAGCAGGTTGGAATAAGGTTGAGGCGTAATTAGTAAACTTAACCCGTAACTAATAGCGTATGTATATCACGACGGAACAAGGGCAAGAAGGACGCTATGGAAGTATTCTCGATTGCAGTGACCAGAGCAAACCAATCCTATTTATCAAGTATCAACAAGCCATTCAACAGAAATTGCTCCCACTATGTTAATTTGATGTTGGCCCTGTGTAAACAACAAGCAGTCCTTGGGTGTTTGAGCTCAAGATTTTGCTAGTTCGGGCTAGTGATATCTCGTGATCTAGGCTCATCCCCTATAACTAAGTCTTGGCCGTTGCCCAGCTGTTTGGGGTGCAACTCTCTTCTTCCCTTGAGAAAAAAGGGAATATCATCTTGCCAAAAATGTCTTGTTGAGCCATGACGCTTTCATACAAGCTTCGCTTTTTTCACGACATTAGTGGACACTAGCGCTTCTCTTGCCGCTGCAACTTGGGATAGCACCTTACCAATGACCGAACGGTTGGCTAATCACTGACTTCCATTACGTCGCTTTTAGGGGAGCTCATACATCGCAAAATTGAGCATTTCGTGCTATCCGGAGTGACCTCGAGAGGGAAGGCAGAAGACTCCACACTGAGTTAGATACCTAGCGATTCTTTCGGTATTGGTGAGGAACAAAGTAAAGTACGTACAGCTCCTCGCTTGCCACCTCCCGAGGTCAGCCGATGAAGAGAAAAGAGAAATCTGAAATGAGAGATCGTGAGCCGCTGCAAGTAATAGATCATATAATTCAATGCACTTCTCCAGGGCCGAATGTCCCAGTATTGCCTGATTCAACCCGAGAGAGTCTAGATCATTTCCCTGGCGGTCCCACGATAACCAAGATATATATGCATCGGTTCAAGTTCTCGAAACGGGCTGCGTGTGGACAAAGCTTGTGTAGATAGTTACCGATTTGCTGGAATAAGCCGCGTGTCCAATTTGGCTTTCCGGTTATTTTCAGGATATGATAGAAAATGTGTAGATATATGTTCAAAGCCTAACGACGGGGAAAGCGGATGGTTCTGTGTGAGCTAGGTCCAATGACGAATGCACATCCCTAATCCAAAAGCATAACTGAAGGAGTCTCCGTTAGATTTTTCCTCCTAACTAGGTTGATAGCCTGAATGCGGACAAATACCCGCTTTTTATTTCAAACTTCCTTTCCACAACCCTTGAGTGTACGGTGGTATCTCAATCATGGACATCCTCGTCAGGTCGAGCGAACAGACATTCTTCTTTCCTGTCATGGTATTTATCCAACAAGTGGAACGTCCATACCGCACTTTCGGATTTGTTTTTTGACCCTTTTTCTTCTTATTTGCGATGCTTGATGGTGGTCACAGGTTCCTTATATCTGGTGCTAGTGGAAGCATATTTTCCAGTTCTTTTTTTGTTTTTTTGGCAATATCCATCAAGCACTCCTGCGGGGCAAGTATACAGTGCCATGGCCATCGCCAGTAATCGATACACCCATTTGAACAACCGAGTAATGTGACGAAATGGAAACAGCAGGTTAAATAAGTAAATAACAGAAACCAAAAGCTGTCTTCATTGTAAGAGCATATATTAGGCTCCTAATGCATCTTCTGGTAGCGGAAAATTGAGGTTTTTTTGTGGACAAAATGAGCAAGAAAAATTGCGACAAGGGAATCAAAATAAGAGAAATCTAGTCATCATTTTGAAACAATGATCAGCACGAAGCATCTTTTACAAATTTAGCTAACTTATTAAAAAAAGTCCTAGTTGCATTTTAAAAAATCAAGCAGACTCAGAGGGGACACTCGGAAGTAAGGGTAAAAACAAAATTCTTGTGAGAAGAGAAATGGTCACGCTCACGCGAGCTTTCTAGACCATTACCACCGACCGTTCAACGTTCAGCAGTAGCTATCAAAAAAAAAAAAAAAAAAAAAAAAAAAAAAAAAGCAAACCCAATAAATACTCTGTAAAAATCGATACCCTGCGTAAAGGTAACGATTTCAGTTTCCCAGGTAAAGGAAAAAGGAAGAACAATGAAATGCGAAAGTGAAAAAAGTCAGGATTAGCCTCAGGCTCTCGGATAGCAAAATATCTGCTTCTTCCTTCTGGCCCCTGCGCCGTCGGCTGTGAGGGCTTGAATAGTCAGAACCGTCCCATGGCCAATCACCTCCATTTATTTATTAGTGGGTGTTCGATGAATGGAGAGACGTGCAGTAATTCCATGCATGAGCGTCTTGGCTAAGCGTTGGTTTTTTTCCTCACTTCTTCCACGGCGAATTATGCCAGTTGATACAGAAGTCATGATTCACGAAGAGAACGATGATGATTTCCATCAAGGCAACGGTAGGGAGTTCCAGACGTTCCCGTATTCAACAATCAGCATCTCGAACAGAGATGAAAAGGAGGGCTTACTAGTATGGGAGAGTCAAAGTGAGATTTCTTAGCGTTGTTTGGGGCCCTTCGCCGTAGCCTTGCCTAAGGTAATTGCAATAGAAACCCGTGTCAATACAGCATAAGTAAAGGGCATCCACTCGTCCTTCTCATATCTTGCGTCTTGTTGGGAAGATTCCATACAGATACTTCGGTTATAGTTAGCTCGAGAGAAACAACCAACTGCTGACGATTTCATTTATTGATCTGCTCGGGTGTTGGTAGAGTATGCAACACCAGATAATGCAAGTATTGTGATTTCTGCAGCGGGACCAGACGTACGCACAGGGCAAACTAGCAGTGTCTTTCCTTATCACCTGTGCGAGAGCCAAAACCCAGGCAAACGCATGATTTCACAGGTTTAGAAACGACGAGTCGTTGAAACCCAGATCTAGGGAACAACCAGCTGAAGTTGATGAAAGTCGATACGAAATCACCATCTCAGGTGGTTTGAAGAAACGTTGTCATAAAGTGGGCAAGGTTTGGCTATAACTGTTTGTCAATTTGAGGACTCCACACACGATTGCCTCATAGATCCATGGACAACGACAGGCATTACTTTTCTGGAGTGTGGTCAGCCAATGTGACGAATGCAGCCATGTCATTACTGTGTTTTAAGCCCCTATCCTTAATTAACGGGCTGTCAGCGGCCGCAGACGGACAATGGTTGGGGCTGCTTGCACACAAGGATAAGGGGACTGAAGGAGCGCTCTAACTCGCCGAGCCATGCCCATTCCGAAAAAGCAAGTTTATCCCTGAGGGGATTATTTCATTCGCGCAACGACACAAGAGTAGTGATGGCCTGACGTTGCACAGGTGCACACAGCAACGGTGTGTTTGGGCAGACCAGGCTTAGGCCGCGCACTAAAAACATTATCTAGCGTTCCAAGGCAGCAGCAGGCACATAAGTGCGATCAAGAAACAAACCTAGAGGTAGTTAAGACCTTCTTGGGGCCTGGTGATCCCGTGGAGACTTCGCTTTGCCCATATGCGAGTTTGGCTCATCCATGGGGTGATCGGATAACAAGTAGAGACTGCGTGTAAACCTATATCGATTAACCATAATGTCACTCGCTAGGGCTTCTACACAATTAGGAAAAGCACTGATGGAAAAAGGTCGGCATATCTTAATCATATTCAAGTAAAGGCGGCCTTATTTGGAGCCTTTATAGTGGAGTACACGGAGTACACGGGCATGCATTGACAAGCAAGATATTGGTCAAAGGATGAAAGTTTAACATGTTCGAACTTTTTGTCTCGGACAGGACAAACTTAGGTCCAGGTATCGTATTCCGCCATGGGACGTTCGTTCCTGATGGAATTTTGAATTTTTTTCAAAAGCGATTGTCCATGCGTTAAACTTCAAACAGCGTCGAGCATAGGTAAACTGATAGAAGTTCCAGAAACATCCACAGAGACAACAATTAGCAGAATCTAAGCCCCAACAGCTGCAACACATGGTTGGAGCGCCTTTTGGCATTATTCAGTCGAGGTACCTGAATGAAGCCAAACGAGTTAAAACGTAACAGGAAGCTACATTACCCTGGCAGGAAAGGAAATAAAAGTACCCCGTAGAAAAGTGTAAGATATGATAATATAACGAAGAGCAATAGGAACATCGAAACAGGAGCGCAGGATAACATTACTTGCGTTTCCATTTTCCTCTTGCTGCATGAGCAAAGCCTGTGAGTATTCGAAATTCTGCCATTGACATTAGTCAACATCAGGCGCATCTAACGATTAGATGCTGATGGCTTTGAGGAACGAAATGGGAACCGCAGTGCCAGATGTTAATAGGATCCTCCAGCCATTAGATAACGTCACCTGCGTGGTGTATTGAACCGTCATTTACAAGTACAGTTGTTTGAAACAAACCTTCAATGTCATCGTGAATATTGTAAAATAATATTAGTTGGCTTAAAGGGAGCCAAGGTGAGAAGGGAATCTGAATATCTTCGACGCATAACAAATGTGAGATAAGAATAACGGCGGTGTGCGCACCTCGTGTCGTTGACATCCTAGGTAGCCCTGTCCTAGCTAGGTTTATGATTCGCACTCTCATCGATTCAATTGGTCCTTTCGAGATGACTTTGAAGTGAAATTCTGTAAGGTCGGGAGCTTTTGATTGGATAATGTAATTTTCGTTCGATGGTTTTCACAGGTTCGCTATGCATCGCTTCCTGGTCATATTCTGTTCTTCCTTCGTCCTTCTTCCTAATCAACACTCCCGGGGGGGTTTATTCTGGAAGGCGAAGAACCAACTCCGGGGAGATTACACATCCATATCTAGTACCCCACTCATCCCGTTGATGTCGTCCAACCCCATTGTCCAAGATTTTCTCAACAAGGCTTACGTTGCATGACTAGCCCAGTCATTTTCAAAACGATCTGTGACATGGGTTATGCTTGGTGCTCTTTGGTACCTATTGCTTTGTTGTGTAAAGAAATTGGTGAACGAATTAGCCAACCACTTTCTCCGGTCTTGTTGAATCTGAGGTTTCTCACGCAGCCGTCAGCTTAGGGTGTACTGATCCCGGAGAAGATCCGGATCTTTAATCTGGGGCCATTGAACCAACCCAGTTCGTCAATGCTTCAACACAACGGTTGCGGCAACCTCAAGTACTGCTGCGTATGTGTTGGGGGAAAAGTCATACCTGGATGGTTCCCATTCTTGCTCTAGCGTCTCACCAGAACCTCCAAGTTTCCCGCTGTCCTCTGGAGGTGTGGCTCATCATTCTGTTCAATTGGATTGTAAACTCCCCCTCCAACGCAAGCATGGATGGGAATGATTCCGAGAAACTATATTCCAGCATTGCCTGGGTAATTTCCAACCAACTCCCTCTCCGGCTGTGTGGCTTAAGGTCTGCATAAATCAATCCCGAAACGCTGTTCCCATGCCTCGAATTTTGAAGCTATTCTGTAGAAAAGAAAGGGGAAAGGAGGCTGGCACGAGATTAGGATGGAGTCCACGTTCCAAGCATAGAGGAATGATCCCCCATCCGCCTGTGATGGCTGAGGAAAGGATGCTTAGGGTCTTTCGGAGGAGAAACTTTCCCATCGGGTGGCTGTCTCTCGCTCAGTCTTGCAGCATTTGCAGCATGAGCCTCGTTGACCCATGAACGCCGAGAAGTTTAGTCCTGCAGGGGTATACGGCCTGTGTCGTTATTCCTTTGGGTGCTCCTTTGGCGATAATTTGAAAACAACGTGACTGTGTCCGCAGACAGCGGAGACTGAAGTAAACCATGCCCATAACAGAGCCTTGCGGGGATATCATGATAGCAATGGAGCGCTGGAAATTGTGTGGTTAAGCAACATCCTAGGCTCGATTAGTGACAAGCGGTAAGCGGGTTACAAGGATACGTAGGGCATGTACTGTACGGTACGGGACCTGCAGCTCAGGTCGACGGGCAATTGAGCTATAGTAGGGAGTGCGATGCTGAAACCCTTGAACATAGAGTTATATATGTGCATCTTCATCTTGAAATGAAAAGGTAGTATGCTGTGGTTATCTGTTCTCTGTGCCGACCCTCAACCTTTTGCTGTGTATCATCCTGTATCCGCGTATGCCAAGCTCCAACCGTTGCCCAGTTATCAACAGAACTTGGCTGCTCAATATGAAAAATTCCCACTCAAAAACAGCAAAAAACAGCCCTTTTAAGCTTTTGATATTCTGGCTGAACAGGAATCAGCTAGGACAGAAAAAAGCAACCTTCTCCTCAACTTTGCTTCCATTCCGCAGACACGACCTCCACCACCCAGAAAACCCCTCTGACCACCTCTGATCCCACTGTCTCCGGCTATCCAGCCCATCCCTGCTCAGGTCGCCTTTTCGCTTCGTCCAATAACACGCCTCCACAGCCCTTTTCCGTCGTGCAGCCGTCTAAAATCTCATACCTGATCCGACTCCCCAATACTGAAGCCAGTCCAGTCCGTTCGTTCATCACCGCAGAAACCCTTCGCCCCCTTTCCGACGCGCTGGGAATTCACTCCATCGACTTTGCTGTGGTCCCTCAACCCTCGAATATACTTCCTCCTCCTTCTTCTCTTTCCTCTCCCTCCTCTATTATAAGCTATGGGTGCGTGTGTCTCATTTCCTCTTCTCCTCTACTCGTCGTCCCCTTTGCGCGCGACTAGCTTGGCCATACCCTTCCTTTTCGCCTTTCCTTCCCGACATGCCTTGTGTGCCTTCCTCCCGATCCCACTGTTGCCTGGTTCTGGCCGTGGCTTGCAGCGCCTGAGCTCAAGAAAAAAAAAAATTTCCACAAATTATTATTATTATTATTATTATTATTATTATTTTTTTTTTTTTTTTTTTTTTTTTTTTTAAATATCTTAAGTCTATTTTTTTTATATAATTTTCTCAACTTCCTTTTCCCAATCCTTTTTTTTGTATGGAACGGCATGCCTATTTACCGTTATATATTTATTACGTTATTCAGTCTGCATTCCCAAGGGTGAACAGGAGAACGGCAAGCAGCGTGCTCTCTTGTCCTTTTGCTCCGTACTGTCCCCTTGTCATGCCATTGCTGCTACAAACATCCCTCCTTGATCCCTTCACTTCCCCTTCACCCCTCCCTAGGTTCGCTCTCCCCCTCCTCATGCTTGATACGACTAGAGTGGTCCCTTGCATTCTGTGTTGAGTCAACCATACCACCCCTTCCTTGGCTTGGCTCCAGTGTCTCGAGTTGCTTCTGGCCGTAGGACACTTCAGTGAGGGCCTTTACCGCTTCACCTCGCCCACTACTAAACCATTTCTCTCCCTGCTTCTGCACTTTTTTCCTGCTCGCTATCCGATTTTATCCCTTGCTTTGATTCTCTCCGGCCCCTCCGTTGTTGTTTTCACGCACTTTGTCCTCAATTGCTTTTCGTTCTTCCAACCTTCTTTTTCACTTGGCTGGTAACGCTTGAAACTCACGGGAACCTTCTCTCATTCCTAGGTGCAGCTGACGTCTATCGACCCGCCCAAGTAAGTGTATCTGCGACTTTTTGTAATCCTACCCTCAATCATCACGGACAACCTTTTCCTATCTCGACCTTATAAGTTGTGGCACGGGATTATTCGGAAGCGGGCATCAGAAGCGAGGACACCATCCACGGTCAGAGAGAGGCATGAGCAGGGCACACAATAATTTTCTATTGTCGGTGGGAGAGGAAATAGACTGTATGAGATGTTTCCAGAGGGCTGCTTGATCGGAGATTCTCAGGCTGATGTAGGGCCGCTGCGACCCTCTGTTCGTCTCCGCTGCTCTCCACCATCTTCGCCTTCTGCCTTTGCCAGCCCTCCTTGCCATCCCGCATCGTCCATTGATTGTCCTGTATCAAAAATTATCTCCTGTCGCGGTTGCATGGGATTTCTTTTCTGTTCTCCTTTCCTCGCCTGCTCGACTTCCGTTCCCCCACCCGCTCCCAAACTTAATTATTCACGTGGTTGCCCGTCGACAGCCAATTACCTTCTCCCAGCCACCACGACTCTTAACTCTCCATCCAACCTTCACTTCCTTTGCTCCATCTGTAGTGAAAACTTCTCTACTTCCACTCAACATCCTTTTTCGTTTCCATCTCGTTTGATGTGCGCGCGTTGCTCCTCCCTTCACCCGCACGATCTTCACTCTCTTAATTGACTTCGAAGGTCTGTGTGATGGCTAACAACTTGCAGCGCGAGAGGTCTCGTTCTCCACGTCGTCGTTCCCGTAGTCCACGTCGCAGTCGTCGTTCCTACTCTCCTCGTAGTCGGTCCCGTAGTCGTGAAGACTACCGTCGCAACGATCGTCGATCCAGAACTCCTGTAGGCGGTGCAGCTGGTGCTTCTGGCGGACATTCAAGCTCCGGATACGGTGGACGTGGTGCTTCTTCTCGTTCTTTCGAGGATCGTTCTTTTGCCAAGGAACAAATGATGCAATCAGTGCGCGAATCTTCCCAACAAGACCGCCGGGTCTATGTTGGCAATTTGTCATACGATGTCAAATGGCATCACCTTAAAGATTTTATGAGACAGGGTAAGCGAGCCTTACGACCAAGGAAGGACTGCGTGGTCAGCTGGAAATGAAATGGAGCTAACTGCGGTGGACTGGTTCGTAATGCTCTAGCTGGAGAGGTCCTCTTTGCCGATGTTTTACTACTTCCCAATGGAATGTCGAAGGTGGGCGTCAACGTGTAGCTGTGGCTGGTTTCCTGGTTTCCTGGTTTTCTTTAATGGTTATTTTGATGGACGTTGGATTGACGGGTTGGGGCTTGGCGATCCGGTTGATGTAGGGCTGCGGGTAAGTAATCCTTCGTTGAGGTAGCAGGAAAGAAGGGTTTCATGTTTGTTGTGTTTGGAAAAATCGATCTAACTGTTAAAATTTGCAGGATTGTGGAATACGCATCGAGGGAGCAAGCTCAAAATGCTGTAGCGACGCTCAGTAACCAAACTCTCATGGGTAGACTTGTTTACGTTCGCGAGGTAGGAACCGTTTCGCTTTCCTTACCTTCTACATTTTTACGGCTCGTTTCATGAACTGACACATTGCATGGTCTGCTGTGATTCACTGTAGGACCGTGAGGCAGAACCCCGCTTCACTGGCCAACCTGCCCGTAATGATTTCGGAGGCCCTGGACGCGGAGGCTATGGAGGCTATGCCTCAGGCCCTGGTACTGGTGGTGGCCGACAAATCTATGTCTCCAACGTTTGTTGCCCTCCTAACACATTTTCCTACCCTCACCGTGTACCCTTTTCATCATTCATACTTCTTTCCCCCCAATTCTGCTCATTGAAACTTGGCCCATTAACTTTCTATATTTAGCTCCCATTCAATGTAGGCTGGCAGGACTTGAAGGATCTATTCCGCCAAGCTGGTAAGTCCAAACCTGTTGCAGGCCTTGATCAATTCTGTGCATTGCGTGATATTTGTGTGTGTGTGTGTGTGCATAGAGTGCTTTTGCATTGACAAAATATCCTATTTATAGCGCAACACGGTGCTGTTGTCCGTGCCGATGTGCATGTTGATCCCAGTGGCCGCCCAAAGGGTTCCGGCATTGTCGCATTTGAAAGTGCAGATGACGCGCGAAATGCTATCCAACAGTTCAATGGATATGATTGGCAGGGTCGAACACTGGAAGTTCGCGAAGACCGTTATGCGGGATCGGGCCCTGGCTTCGCTGGACGTGGCGGGTTTGGTGGAGCTCCCGCTCGTGGTGGCTTCATGGGCGGCCGTGGCGGGTTTGGTGGTGGCCGTGGTGGATTTGGTGGTGGGTACGGTGGTGGAAGAGGCGGTTTTGGAGGCGGGTACGGTGGTGGTCACAGTGCTGGCCCAGTGGAAGGATCAGTTCCTCCAAATCCATTCACGGATTTTGCAACTTCTGGTGGAGAGAGGAGTGCAACCATCTATGTCCGCAATGTACGTTCTCGTCCTTACTTTGATTTTTGTATTTGTTTATTTAATTTTTATACCTTTACTTTTTGGCTAACGGAAGGAACTGTGTTTCCAAACAGCTTCCTTGGTCGACCTGCAATGAGGATCTAGTTGACCTCTTTTCGACAATTGGTAAAGTTGAAAAGGCCGAGATTCAGTATGAGCCTAATGGACGCTCCAGAGGAACTGGAGTAGTTGAATTTGACACTGCTGAAAATGCAGAAACCGCTATCAGTCAGTCTTGCCTATCCATATTCATTGCTCCTTCTCAATGAGCCTATCTGCGTTGTGGAAAAAATTATTGCCTGCTAACATAATATACAGACAAATTCACAGGGTATCAGTATGGTGGTCGCCCTCTAGGCCTGACCTTCGTCAAGTACTTGAACAATGCTGCCGCAGATGCCATGAAGGCACAGAAGCAACAGGCGG